TCTGATATGTTGTTTATGATGAATGGAAAATTGAGGACATAATCCCTTGACGTTATTTTTTATTTTCAAACAATCCCAACTGTAATACCGTCGGTCAAAACCAATCATTCCCCTTTAATCCCTCCCCACCAGCAGGCAGGTGGAAAAAAAGAGTTAACCTTTGAGAAATAGTGTAAAGATTCAGATCATGACCATAATGTCGGCAATTTAGATCCTGATACTGCAATCGGGATCTTCTATAGGCAGAGTAAATAAATGCTATGAGTCTGAAGGAAAGCACTGCTGAGAAGAGGTTGCGTGCTAACTGATATGAAGCCATATGTTTTCAAACTGAAAAGGTCAAAAGGAAAAGGAACAGAATGGAAATTTTGAGATTCTTCGATCCTTCTTCAGTACCGTCAGAGAAAATGATCAAAGCAGCCTTACAAGCTGATTGATTCCTGCAAGTCAGTGAAACCGTATACCCCCACCCTGATACCCTGATACCCTGACACCCTGACACCCCGACACCCTGACTGGACTGGATTTGAGACTGGTGGAGAAATGTCATGACGGCGACATTTAGGAAGTGAACAGTGCAAAAGTGCATGTGGGAGGGATCTCAAGAGCCAAGACACACATGATCTGTCATTCAAATCGTTATAAACATTTGTGTGCATGAACAAAGAGACTTGATTGTAACAGGTGAACTTTAAATACATAAACACTTTAACATTATGTCAAAGGGGCTCTTGATACCGCAGTGGTTTTACCGTTTACTACGGGTTAGTGCAGATTGCCCTTTTAAGAATTTTTAAACAGGAATTTACAGGGAATTGGATTTCCAACCTATTGGTCTCATCATATATTTTACACACTTACTACTGTCATATTATTGTGACGGAATAGTGTAACAAGATTTACAGTAATCAATAAAATACTGAATCAACGCTCAAGTGAATTGAGTCCGCTCAGAGGTTATCAACAGTTTCAAATCATAGTGTGTGTGTGTGCGTGTGTGTGTGTGTAGGCGTGTGTGTGTGTGTTTGGTCCAACACATGCTGCAACCTTTGGTTCTGAAAAGTGGGGCCATTCCAGAAGTGTCTTAAACTTCCCTAATTTCTGATAGCCAGCAGAGGGAGTCTCCTCTGATTGAAAACAATTCAAAAGTTTGATTGTGTAGGAATTGATGAAAATTACCCAACTTACATTTTAGTTATTCTTATTTAGTATTTTAAAAGTTTTTAATCTCGTTCCTCAAGAGAACATGATGTTCATTTAGTAAATTCTGGTCAAAGTGAAGGTAAAATGAAACAAAAAAGAAGGTTATGCTCAAGGGCTGCCTGGTGATTGACAGCTCGCTAGCATGGCATTGTCCGGTTTGTACGTCATGTGCACTTGTGTCTCGCAACTTGAATAACTTCACAGAATGTTTTCACTTCATGAACGTTAATTGTAACATTTTGTTTTTTTCTGTACTTATATGCGCAAGTGGTCAATACTAGAAAACATTTAGGGTCAAACAAATCATTTATCATATGCTAAATTGGTATAAACATGTGATTGCCCTCTTCTTGTACAATTGTTTCATATTATAAATAATAATGAAAGGGCATGTGCACTGTGGATATTTAGTGGTAAATTACTCTTTTATGGCTAAAGTTCCTTCATAATTTTTGTTGGCGCACATTTAAGTTGTTTTGTACTCGTGTTTTCCGGCGTGTTGTTTGTGGCTTAAAATAAAAATAACTTACTTTCAAAACTTCTGAACTTAACATCGGATATGTCAATCCATTTATTTATAACAAAAATAACAAACAATTCAATTCCCAATCCGCCGTGCCTCACGGTCAAAAGTTATCTGCCTCGCTGTGCGCCACACCTGCACTAATTAGCCCTGGTGTTAAATAGGCTGGTGGCAAAAACAGCGCCATCCCATTGCAGTGTTCAGAATGGCTCCAACAATTTTTTTTAAAATACTATAGTAGTTTGCAACATTTGCAACAGTTATGTGGAAATCCATCCCGTGCCACCTAGTGTTTTTGCTTTATCCCCCCCACATGTCCAAGCCTCCACCCCTTTGCTACACCACTTTAAATAACACGGTGAGCACGGGAGCATCGCCCCTGTGTTCCTTTCACGAGAAGCAGGGGAAGAGGATTTACCTGCTGTCAGCAGTCGCTGGAGGGCAGAAGCCCCGTACTCAAATCCCAGGCCGGGATTATGATGTAAAAATCAATCAATCCCCTCGTCCCTGTGCGGTGAATCAGCGGTGCTGTCGTGACCTAGATGAGTAAATCTAATCTGAGCAGTGACTGACGCCACAAGGACAAAAAGGAGCTCAGTGGGGAATAACAAACTGCGCTCATTAGATAAATATTATGGAGGATAAAAAATCAAAACAGCAACTCCTTGTTTGCTTTCCTTCCAATCTCTTCTTATCTCTCCTACTTTTCACCCTTACCTGCATGTGTATAATTATCTCTGCTCTCTATTTGTCCTCTTCGTTCTGTTCAGTCTCTCTTGTTTTTTCCGTCAAATTTGTTTGAGGTAATATTAATATGTTTACATTAAGAGTTTTTTTTTGCCTTCTAGCCGGATCAATTTGAAACTCTGTAAAACTTTAGCAAAACATTTATTCAGGACTATGTTGACTGAACTAAATTAAAGTAAAATCAAGTACAGCCAGCAGTGAGCTCCAATGCAACGCCATGCAGCCTGAGCCATTTTTGGCTGTTTGATTCCACACAGAACTAAAAGTTGGGGACAGTTGGGGACAGGCAACTTTTAGTGTCCTGCGACATATTGAGGCTTTGAAGAATTCTCCCCTTCACTTGATTACATTAACATGCTTCAGGTTAAAAAAAGACAGCCACCCTTAACATGGTGTCACCGCTGCATAATTAGCTAACTTTTGATGTTTTGTGTCTTTTCAGTTATGGTGGGAAAAAGTGAAAAAATGTTCATGAGGTTGGTCGGAACTTATTTAAGGGTTAATGTGTCTCAGACGTGCACATTTCTTATCTTACACTCAATGCAACAGCTCTTAAAGCAAAAGGAGTTGCTGTTTTGATTTTTTACACTCAATGCAACAGCTCTTAAACCAATATATTGCATTTTCCTGAAATGCAGCTTACTCCTCTTCAGTCCTCTTCTCACACACACGCACACACACAGGGCTGTAGTGGAGGGTAAACGCACGTAAGCGCCGTTTACGCACCTCTAGAATTTTGGAAATTTACGCACCTTGAATAGCGTTGACGCACCTCTAAGCAGCGTTTACGCACCTCAAAGTTCCCTGCGCCTTGTATTCTTCCATTGGAATAATCCGAAATAAACTTGGTGTAATTTTAAAACAGCTAAGACTACGTTTCCTATTGTTGAACATATAAACGCCATAGTCTGAATCATTTTCATCTGCGCTATATTATGGTCTGTGAGCATCCAATCAGTGCCTTGCTCTGTTTACCCACCTCTAATTTTACCACTACAGCACTGCACACACACACACTCACGGACACACTCACCTACACTAAGCAGTGTGTTTCCTGTCACTCTGTGAGGTCCAGACAGATTGGCTGTTTTGGCAAGCGTTTACCAGTGTATGCCAGGTATGTATTGTCATGTTGGGTGTGTTTGTGTGTTTGTTTCAATGTGTGTTGACGTAGCTGAGGGGATACAATCGATCTCAGCTGCAGGCACACAGAGTTAAGACCACCTATTACGGAAAAACTAGTGCATTAAAACCTTCTGGTCACTTCTTTCTTACCAGTCAATTCTTTTAACACTTTTGTGACTGTTTTACAAACCCATTTGTAAAATAGAACATGTCTGATGAACCAAAACATTAGCAAGCAATTTGTGTTCAAATCCAAACAATGGCACAGTCAGTCAGCTTGAGTCTTCTTCATCAGGTTCAGATCTGATATTATTTGCAAAATGAGAACAGTGCAGAGCATCTGTCAGCTTACGGGCACGTTGATGTAAATGGAATTCCAAGAGAAAATATATTTTGTTTTCTTGCCAAGAGCTCTCATACACATAAACATACTGTCTTGATTTAAAATGTATCTCTGAGCTTTAGAGGTGCTAGATGGACAAGCTGAGCCAGGCTCTGTTTCCAGTTCATGTGCTCGTTGTTTAACCGAGAGACATGAGAGCATTGATCTTCTCGTCTAACTCTAGACAAGATACGCGTGTGTGTTTCTCAAAGTGTCAAACTACCGCTTTAAGGTAGCATCAGTCTTTCATTTGAACCACCAGATCGGCGTGTTGATCATGATCAGTGCAGATCTATTCAGGCCCTTTGACTGTGAGAAATACTGGGTTAAGATTAGAACGCGTATTTTTCACTTAGCTCATATAAAAGACAATTAGGTACTTCATTCTATGCAAGATTTGCCGGTCTGGCATTTAAAAAGTGAGGCTGTAAAAAGGGGAGCGAAGAGAAAAAAATAGAAGAAGAGAAGGGGTTATTTTCCCTTGTGGTGTATCAGCCCGACTACAACAAACATGACAGGGTTGTCAACGTCAACAACGTTGTCGAAACTGGCAGAGTTGACGAGCGGTGGTCTGGAGACGGACAGAGCGGTGCAGAGTGAATTGGAGATAACAGGGAGTGTGACAACTGAATTACAGCTGACGGCCCTGACATGAGCTCTGGAGAAGAGGAAAGCAGGACGGATGTGGCTCTGTGGGAGGGAGACAGTGAGGGGGGAGACTCAGAGAGTCAAAGGACAAGAGGTAAGACTTAAGGAAAGGAAGACAGAGACGGAGATTAAAGTAAGAAAATCACGGGATGAAAGGAGACTTCTCCTCGTGGAGGGACGGGGGGACACTTTAACAATGAGAGCGGGAGACAGACAACGAGCATGTAAAGGGAAAGTCCGATGAGATGGGAAAATCAAAGGAAGTAGGAAACTGTGTAGGAGGAAGTCTTTGTGACGGCATGTGGACATTTGTGCACACGTGCTAATTATTTGTCTTCTTAATGTGTTCAAAGAAACAAGTGAAAAACTCACATGTGGCATTTGTGAGCCTGAAGGTGATCGACTTGTCCTCGATGTTACAGACGTTACGGACGGACACCTGGCAAGTGTAGTCGGCAAAGTCTCTGGGTCTCAGGTTCTTTAGCTTCAACACCTTGGTCTCACCCTAGAGGGGATGAAACAGGCATTCGATAGAACATCATGCTAAAGTAGAAAAAGATTATAAAACACAGATTCTGTCTAAAGATTAATCCGATTAATTAATACGACCACATTTCCATTGCAGCAGATGCAATTGCATCAATGAGGAAGCTCAGGCTTTTCTAAACTGGACTGTAATTTTGTGTTAAAGTCACAATTTTTGATGAGTTGCACTTTGATAAACGGGGTCAAAGACACTTTTAGATAAGCACGCACGCACGCACACACACACACACACACACACACACACCACATACTCTGTTCTACATCAATCTGCATTTAGAGTAATATAAATGATGGATTTCCAAATGGATTTCACACGGAACCATTAGGAAAATGAAAGTGATCTGATGAGTGTCGAGGCAAAAACTAAAACCATCCATCTGCTGTCTGACTATTCTTGTTTCTGTTTGTCTGTTTCTATCTTTGTGCTATTCGTAGAAACATCCAATATGTTTTTCAGATCAGGAAGTTGCGTTTGAAAGCATATGAGGGTCTCTCTGCTGAAGTGGGTGAGGGTCATCGTCTTCGGCAGCCTGGGAACAGCTAATTGAACTGGGGCGGGGGGGCACTGCTTTGTGCACTACTGATGCTCTGATAAGTGGAGAAAAATAGAGCAGTTGCGCTAACGATTGATGAAAAATTAACAACTTTTGTATTTTCAAGCTGTACGTTTCACTTTTCAACCTCAACCTTTTTTTAGTTGAGGAGCGTATTTTTGGGCATACGTGACATTATATCAAACAGAAAGCGTTGCTATGAAGGTACAAAGAGCATAGCGGCTAATATGAACTGAGGATGGAGAGGAGAGCAGAATGGCTGTGTTTCTACACTGTGTGTGTGTGTGTGTATGTGTACCTGAGTGTAAAGGGGTTCGTAGATGTCCACTCCATTGTCCTTGCTCTGTTCGATGAGCACGTTCCCACGTTTCCAGATGAACCGCGCGGGAGGGTTGGAGTTGACGGTGCAGCGCAGGAACACCGTCTTCTCCTGGTAGTAACTTCCCCGTACATCGCTGATGGTCTGGTGCACCGTCAGAACAGGTACATCCAGGTCTGCGAAGCACAGCAAAGGATCAAAAGATAAACATGCTACAGAATGTCATACGGTACAGTATTAGAAAAACGGAAAAAGTATGTGCAGCTTTCAGCTTGTAGGCCGCTGTCGCCTTTGCTTTGGAAAATGCTGGCAATATTTTGCAAGGCAGGGATGAGACTTGGTAACTGGGACACTGCTGTAAATAAGGCCAAACAAGTGCTGTTTGTTGACTGAACTGCCCACCCACACTGACCAAAAAGCATCCAAACAGCCGCCTCTTGATCCCGGCTTCTAAACAAGCACAAATGTCCAAACAATCTGTGATTCAGCGTTCTGCTCTCTGGCTGTGACTCTCTCACACATTGTCTTTTATACGTTTCTTCTGCCTTTCTCCCCCCCCCCCTCATTTGCTTCGTTTCCTTGTGCATCGCTTTCATGGGAGTGTCATCTCCCTTTTCCTCCCTCAGTGGGAAGGATTTCTGCTGCTGTCACAAGCATGGAGGCTGCTCTCCCCTGGTTTCTGCCGTCTCTCCAAAACTCACTGCCACTCTGACTCCTCATCACCGTCCCTCCCTTTCTATCCCCTCCTCCTCGCTCCTCGCCTCTATCTCTTACGGGGCAGAGTTGTGTGTGTGTGCCTGTGTGTGTGTCTGTGTGTGTGTAATTCCGATTCCTTGCAGTCCAATTGGAATGTTGTGGACTTCAAACATCATGGAAACAATTTCTGCCAACAGCAGGGTGGCCTTTTCCCCACCTTCCTTGCATTTCTATTTTAACTCTCTCCTTCCCACGTTTCTCCTCTGTGCCTGTATTCCTCACTAGCTTCGTCAAACATGCTGCACCCTATCAAGAATTCATGATGCAAGCTATAGAAAAAGAGGTGAGCCTCTAGTGCAGCTGCGATGTTCAGCGGGACCTCGTGGTGGAAGGAGGCATTCGTTTTTAACGCGTTTTTCAGAGACACAATGTGTGAATAAGCATGCTTGATGTTTGAGTTCCTCTTAAAAGACCACAGCTGTCACACGAGGGCTGTGTGACATACACAGGTGCAAACGCAAACACGCACAAAGCCCCACCTAAATGTGTGTGTGTGTGTGTGACCTCAGGACAGCATCAGAGCATTTTTGTAGTTTGAAGGTTGGAGCTCTGGGTAAATACTGGCACACACACACAAACACAGAGGCGACGGGGATTTTCCTCTTACTACAACAAGAGGCGAGTCACAAAGTCATGGTAAGATTGCCAAATTGTTAGAAAGTGATAAAACCATCTGCATGCCTCGGAGCTGGGTACAGTGTGCAGCAACTTTGCCTGAATGTGACTGGAACAAAGTGTGAATGGACATGACACTGAAGATACCTGTGAACACTTGTGTCGACAGATGTTTCCTCAAATCAGCTTCACAATAGTTCAACACAAAAGTCAAAGCTGCACAATTTGCTGAAGGGCTTTAACGTTATACTCATATGTGTTCTATGCATTTGAAAAAGAACAATGTTTGTTGTAACACTTGTGATAAGAATTAGCAATGCACAATGGTTATCTAATCTAAAAAAATAAAATGGCTTGGAAATCCACTGAGGTAAATTCATTATTCATTGCTACTACATGTTCATTAAAAATGTTTCTACTGCAAAATTCCATTAGAATGTTGCTCAGAGATTAAATCTCCACTTAAAAAAAATAAATAACCAAATACAATAATTCAAAATATTGGATTTGACCTTTGCATATTGCATTTGGCCTGAACTAAATTGCATACTTTACTCTAATGCATTGAAGCATTTGGGTGTCTCTGTTAATACAGATCTTACTTATTACTGTATGATTTTCACAGATAATTTGCAGCCCATGGGGAAATCAGACTAATGCCCTCGATAGTGTGTGTGTGTGTGTGTGTGTGTGTGTGTGTGTGTGTGTGTGTGTGTGTGTCTCAGTGAGTGAGTGAGAGTGACTATCTGATGTCATTCTGTCGGTTTCATGACACTACGAATGTGGTGAATTTTGCGCAAGTGGAAAAGTGACAGATTGACACGAAGCAGATAAGGAAAAGTATAATCTCAAGCACATCACATATCTTTAAATGGACAAATACTGTAGTCACTCAGTCGCCATTGCAAAATAAATAGTGTATTATTAGCAAATATTGGAAGAATCATTCACTCATACAGCCACCGTCAGCGCGAGGTACATTTGTGCAGTACAAAAAGTAAACACACTTTCGGAAACACACACACATACATACAAAAATGAGTCCTGCTGCCCTAATAATAAAAAGATTGATTTTGCCTTTTGTGTTGGTAAAGCTATTAGAAACCAAGCTCCCTGGGTGAGTTTAACTTTACTCAGTTTGGGCCCTTAAGTAAATAGAGACACAAGATAAAACTGCAAGTATACAGAAATTCAATATGAAACTTTAATGAAGCTCTTGATTTCCCCAATGCCTTTGCAAACAGCTTAGATGCACTATGTTGCTTTTGTTAGCCACAGCTTTTAATGTACTGCACAGCGAGCCTTACAAAGCTGCACTAAGGGTCTGGTATTTTTTTTTCACATAGACACCACAGAGTCACGCTGACACAAAGACATTTTAGCTCCCCATTAGAGTGCGGTCCTTAGCTTTGACGAACGTGTTGAGAGAGCACAAAATCTAATATAACTCATAAAGGGGATCAAATGTGTGATAGAAAGTGACCCCCGTGTTCTCTAAACCAACGATAGCTCCTATAAATACACACTGTAACATATACCGTTTGTCCTCCCACAAACGTCATGTGTTTGCTCTGATTCATGTCATGTGTTAGACAATCTGTTGATCTGCGCGATCACAAGGGCAGCTTTGTCTGTATTATGTTTGTATTATTAAAGTAATACAGATTTTTTATTTGCAGAAACTTTTTAGACATACAGTGTGTAATATTTCTATAGACTTTCCTCAAGGTTTCTGGTGGGATGGGGAATGCAAATAATTAGGTGTTACACAATGAAAGTCACAAACTGAGTTAAAATCTAGGTCACTAGTTATCAATAGATTACCCGTGTATTTAAAGGTTTATTTTCAACCTTTAGTCAGCTGGAAAGAGGCAAACTGTAATTTTGTTTACTAACTACCACTTTGTTGTAATTTTAGCATTTTAGCCCCAATTCTCAATCTCAGTTATATAAAAATTATACAATACAAACAGATTCACGTAACCTCTTACGGCAACATGCGCTACAAAATTAACAATTTGATTGAGTTATTCCCTGAAGAGTCGGACGGAGGGCAATTTTTGTCAGGTATTCCAAATGTTTGCTCCTGAAAACGATGTTTGTTGTACTTCAAGGCACACTAACAAGCGGAAAGAAGCACTCTCGGACGGACGTTGTTTGCTTGTTATCTGAGAAATCAGATGATCACAATTGTGATCAGAATCACAAACTCTGGATGCCTCGTGACTACGCCGCAATTTGATGCAATAAGAAAGACTAAATGGCAAAAGGAACCCGAAACAGCATTTTCCAGGAGTATGTCTGTTTCAAAACCTCTGAACCTAAAGTATAGATTTAATCTTGACTCTCAAAATAAAAAATGCGATAATTACATTTTCCAGATAGTATATTTTATAAACTCCCAGTATTAGTGCTCCATGCTAACGGTTCTTCAAAACCACTCTGAAATCGCCGCGGTAAACATCGCTAGGATGGAAGAGAGATTTACTGCGAAGCAATCCATCTGAGCGGTCAGGGTTGACCGAGTGTGTTTTTGTAACGAGTTGACCTCTGCTGGGTGCTTTCCTCTGCAGGAGGACGCCCTGGTCTCCAAATCCTCTTTGATTTCCAATAACATGTCCTGTACTCTAATAGCTTTGTACGAGTAGATAGCCATTAGGGGACCAAAGAAGAAGATGACAGGTTCAATTGAGTGTGAGCGTGCAATGGAGGAGAATAAGGTGCGGTGCGTTGCATGTGTGTGGATGTCCGGGTGGGGAGATGTGAGTGCGTGAGGATAGCTTTGTTTCGAAAAATGCTGATGCTATGCAAATATTATCTTTACTACGTGTATTGATGTAGCATGCTAGCCTGCCAGCATTTGTTAATGCACAACATACCACAAAGTGCAGCTGAGGCTGACAAGTATTTCATCGTAAAGCAAAGGATTTGACAAATTGTGATCTTGATTCTAAAAGTCAGACGATCACCAAAGTTATTGCATTTGCATCTGAGTGGACCATTAAGACAGAGTCAGAGCTCATTGAAAATTCCGCCACTGATCGCATGACAACTTTCATCCGTCATCCATTGCCAGTGACTGTTTTCAAATGATATGTCGAAATCTATCCAAAGCACCGATTTTTCTTCACTGTCACAGTATGATTGTATAATCGGTCTAGGTAGGATATGCAGATAAGTAAGCATGAACCAAAAAAAGCTTACTGTTGTTAAAAACATTTGTGAAAAGTCTTAAAGATGTCCTGCTTTTATGTCAGGGACAATATATTTTTCTAATGGATGGTATGGACGTAATCAAAACTGCAGCAATGTAAAGTCTGTATGTCTGCAGTAATAAGCGATGATGACACCGATTACTCACAAACACACACGCGCGCACAAAGCCACACACACAAAGAGAACAGGATGTGCATACAGAGAGGCACAAACAGAAGCAGACTTTCTGTTTGATCCAGCTTCGCGTCTCGTCAATTATTCAGCGATCTGCTCATAGACATCGCCCTAAAGAGGACATAAAACATGCACGAGGCCCACATTTCCAAATAACGAGAACATTGCCTGTATTTAACATGCAATGTTGAGAAGGTGAGATTGATTTAGGCAGATTTTCTCTCCTCAGTGGTTTTTAAGTGTAATTAGTGTATATTATTTTGTTGTTGTTGTGGGGTTTTTTTGCATTTTGAACCTCTATTAAACATGGTTCTGTTTCCGTCTTCATTTATTGATTTATTGAAATTTTCCCAAAAACAAATGATGTAAGAGAAGAGGATATTGAAAAAGAGTTAAGACCTTCCCATAATTATGA